GTAGAGAACAGTGCCATGTGATACGGAGGGGACGAGACGGATGAGCATGGTGATAATTAACTGGGTGAGATATTGTAAAATCTAGTGAAACTGGTATGTTCTTCGTCGTAGTCCACATCCAAGTATGCAAGAAAGCAAGAACGGGACGATCCGTTGGTTTTCTGGGCTGTACGTGAGTTTACGTTAAAACTAATTTGTGGCAGGCTACTATATCACAAACTCGGGTACGCACAAGAAGTTCGGGACCGTAACCGCTTCTGAGCCAGCCGATGTTCATGAACGCAAGATGCAGCACACTGGGCGAGCCTGAGCATAGTGAATAGAGCATATGTCGGCCAAATGTAACAAGCTCAAATTTGATGGGAGTGAAGAAAGTTTGTGGTTTCAGAGTCTGTACTCAGGAGTCCTGAGGATTGCGTGACAGTCACAAGCATGCCATTTAAGGTTCCGAGACAAGCTGACTTAGATTGAACATCATGCCGCATCATGCATCATGATGAAAAGTATTATTACTTGGACGGTAGCCTGAACCAAACGCATGGTCGCCCCTTTACTGTAGCCCCTTTTGTTTCGACCTGTACTAACAGACGTATTAGATCAGTACAACGTTTGGAAGATTCTCTGGGCACGACTTGGAAGTGTGCTGATCTTGAAAAACTCGTGGCTTGCGACGTGCGTTGTTCGCGTGAAGATTGTTCCCACACTGTTCTCCCTAGACCTTACCTTTTACTTAGATTGGACCGGTAGTCTTGGTACTATCAGTTAAGTTAAGTAGTGCCCCAAAAACCTCGTAATGATCCCATATCGTGTGCACTATGGCGCACCGGTAAATTCAGAGTCCGAGTCATTGGTCACCAAGACGTGATAGTCTACCAAAATTTGCGTAAGTCAAACACGTCTGAAGCTGTGGTTTCCTCTGACTGTTCGAACATTACTTATGAATGACCAATGTTAATGAAGGTCTGACTTGTCCAGCCAACGACACACAGGTATCGAGGCACCTGGTAACTAAATTGCATCAGTATGAGAATCGCTATGCAGACCGGTGAATTGACATGCAACTTGATCAACATGTAACGGGGCTTGCGGAGGACAGCATGCTAATTTTTCGGAGTCGAATCCAGCTAGGGCCACTTACCTGCAGTGATTGGTGAACCTTGTAAGCGGCGGGGATCCGAGATGAAAACCTCGTGTTCTTGCCTAGCATAGCCAGTGCCAGCAGGTTCTTACCCAGCCTTAAGCTTAAAACTTGACTCGGGTCGAGTAAGGTGTTCGACGAAAGAACAGGTTTACAGGGACGAAGACAGACGTGGTCCAGGAACGCAGTGCAGTCGAAGTGCACAGCTCTGCGGCAATTTGGCAAAGTAGTACCTGTGCTTCGAATTCGACATAGAAGGTCAGCGAAGCGCCCACTCGTATTTCAAACGGTATATATTTGCCTAGTACCCTTCGACCTTTGATAATTCCAGGCAGCGAGCCTACTGCTTCGTCCCTTGCCGTGACCATCCCTCACCGACTTATTGACATTTTTCGAGTCCTGACGCGACAGCATGGGGAATAACGTGAGCCAGCAGGCAGAAAAGCGAAAATCGAGACGTGCGCAAACCCTCACTCCGCCTCAAAAGCCCTCGCAGCGGTTTTCGACTTCTACGTTGGCAGCGTCAGTGGGATTGAGCAAGCGTTCGCAGCAGCAAACTTCTTCGGTCGCATCATCGCCCCCACCGACCATTGTTGCTGTGCCGGAGCCAGAGCCACAACTGGAACCAGAGCAAGTCAGCAAGCCGCCCACGCCGCCGCCGCCACCCCCAGAAAAGGAAAGCATACCGGAGTCTGTCATTGAGGTAAGATTCGATTTGGTCTGCTCTACAGCCGCTTCTAAATCTCATCTTCTTCCAATTCCTCCATCTACCCCGTGTTCGTTTCATCGGACCACAAGAATCAGGACTCTTACGCTCAAGGAGCAATCATGCCGCCTCAATCTGCTACTGTTCCTTGTCAGGTATGTGCTTGAATTCTGCCGCCCACAGTTATCATCCAGAAAGGAGGAGATAATTCGTTCCTCATCGCATGCATTATCGCTCTTCTGGCTTTTCTCGTTCTGACATCATCTGCTTGCTTGCTGCAGTACCGCACAGGTCGCACGCTTGGAAGCGGCACATATGCTATCGTGAAGGAGGCCATACACATCAAGACAGGCAAATACTATGCTTGCAAAGTCATTAACAAGAAACTCATGGAAGGGAGGGAGCACATGGTGAGCATCGATACACTATCCCGCTTTGTATCGTTTAGCTGCGCTGCCGCTGCGGGCGCATCCTGCATTTGAACCTGTATTGTTTGATTATATGATGCTGTTGGTAACGTTACAGCGCGTCAGTCATGGGAAAAACAAGCGCGCTGCGATGATTTTGATAACGATCGCTGATCAGGGCACATTCTGTCCAATGATCTACCCGCCGCCAGATCCAAACTTTTGCAGGCCCGCAACCACTTTCCCTCCTTTTTTTGCGATATAACATCGGACCGACAGTGCTGATTATGTTTTACTTCAGGTCCGCAATGAGATTGCTGTATTGAAGAGGATATCGAGTGGTCACCCGAATATTGTGACACTGCATGACTACTTCGAGGTCCGTGCACAGCGAACACGCTGTTGTACAGCGTGTTGACCAAATGCTCCATTTCTATTTTTAGACATCACACAACCTCTACCTTTGCTTCGATCTTTGCACTGGTGGCGAACTCTTCGATAGCATATGTGCTAGGGGACAATACACCGAGGCGTAAGTATCCCCTATTTCCCATTTCACACATCACCAATTCCACACGCAAGTGACGCGGCTGGGCTCGTCCGCACCATATTTCAGGCAGTTAAATATATCCATGACTGTGGGATCGTGCATCGTGACCTCAAGCCGGAGAACTTACTCTTCCGGTCGAAGCCTGAGAAGACTTCGGAAATCATGATAGCAGACTTCGGTCTTAGTCGAGTCATGGCGGAGAACAAGTTGAGCATGTTGACGGAAGTTTGCGGCACGCCTGGGGTGAGTTCGAGTTGTTCGGCTCACGCACGTGGATTAAAACGCTTTGGTAGTACATGGCGCCCGAGATCTTCAAAAAGAGTGCGACAATGTGATTCTACGACATTCATCATTATCCTAACACTGTTTCTAGCGGGTCATGGAAAACCTGTCGACGTCTGGGCCATGGGCGTAATCACGTATTTCCTGCTTGCTGGTGCGCATATATGACACGCTTGTAATGATTTCAGTGCTGAAAACTTGGTATAGGTTACACCCCTTTCGATCGTGACACCCAACGACAAGAGATGGAAGCCATCATCGCCGGAGATTATAAGTTCGAGCCTGGTCTGTTCCTTCTATTTTTTTGCCATCCGAGCCACCTTATACGTCTACAGATGAGTATTGGTCCCTTGTCTCTGACACTGCGCGGACGTTTGTTGCTACTTGCTTGACTGTCGATCCCGACGAACGTCCAACTGCAGCACAGATGCTTGAGCACGAGTGGCTCACATCTGAGGTACCTCACTTCGTCGAGAACGAGACGGGTGAGCCAAGAGACTTGTTGCCACATGTCAGGAAGGCGTTCGATGCAAAGAGGACATGTTCGTCTCATTTTCCCCTTCCACTCGTAAAATTACTGAGCAACGTAACTTGCAGTCCGAAAAGCCGTGCTGGGTATGATGGCGATGAGGCGCATGACATCGCTCGTCCATCACCTGTCACCAGAGGCGCAGAAGTTGAACGATGATTTGTACCAGTTCAAGCAAGAGTCTGAAAAGGAAATGCTCGAGGATCTAAATGTCGTTCACCATCACAACGCCGACGAAGAACGATCGCTCAAGTCCCAGGATGATATATCTATTGCAAAGGGTCCAAATGGGAAAGCGGCGGAGGGGATCGATGTCAGTGAGAAGCTCGCTGCTGTGAGCCTGGCTGTGAAGTCAGGTGGCAACCCTAAGAGCATTTGACCACGAACGCTAGCCTTGATATTGACTAGGAGGATGGAATTACTATGTTGATATACGTGGAGTTCAGACGGTGCACGCTCTTTCGTTGATCTCTCTATCATGTACTTGTTATCGATACCTGACATCGCACACATTAATCACTATTTCTGCTGGAAATACTCTTAGGCCCCGCGGAGGGAGTGGGGTCTTACCGGAAGATGTATGCTACCTGACAGTCATTTGAGAACCCTGTACAAATATTGTAGAAGGTTGCTCGTACAGTAATTGGTAGCTAAGTAGAACTATTTGGACTGTGCGCTGCAATATAAGCTGATTCTGTACATGCCTGCAGTCACGTCAGTTGTGCATTTTGTTTTACTTATCGATAAAGTGCTGTACCATGCAGAATTTCGTCTGATGCGCGCCGTGCAATAGGAGCTTCCTGTCGACAATATTACATAATCCATGATGCAGCACTACCTATGTACTGAAAAACTGTAAGCATGGCTTACTCACTTGACGTACTAACAGGCATACGGCTTATCCATCGGACTCCTGATTGGTCCCCTTACGATATTTGTTGCTGTTTACAGGATGCCTACGAGCTCCTATTTATATGGGGCTCCTGTTATTGTATTAGATTATCGCCTCTTATCCTGCTCCAATTGCATACGCTTCTACTCGTTACTTTGTCTGAGTGTTTCTACCTCTGGGGTAGTTTCCACTTTTTTTTAACGACCTAGATAGTCGTCTCAACCGTCTTAACCGTATCTCCTGAACAAGGAGGTAACCACCGTAGTTCAAACTGTCTTACCTTCGCTCTGTACCGTCCGTCGCTCAACCTTTGACTACGCGTAGCCGCAGCCGACAAATTGTCACACCTACCGAACCAGTCGTACCTGCGCTACCGGAACCAGAACGTAACGAAGAGCCTCAGAACCAATCAGTACCAAGGAATAACCACAAACGTCATCGCACTTCAGAATCAGACTCGGACTCATCCTCCTACACCGCATATACCCCTCCTCTAATGTCTACAACCAAAACAGCACGTGTTGACCAACCCGCCCCGACCAAACCACCCTTCCTAACGCCAGGGGACATCACTCCAGAAGTACTTCGCACCTGGGAAATGGGTTGCCGACAGTACTTCAAGCACAAGGACATCCCCGTCGACGAGCAGGTAGGGAAGGTAGCGTGGGGCATGCAGGAACCCTCTGTCCAAGAGTGGTATTTGAACGATCAAGAACGCATGGACGAACTCACCTTCGGCGAGTACATGGACGAAGTTCGCGCTTATTGGCTCCCCTCTGACTGGGCCGACACCATGCGCCAGAAACTTCTATCTTCGTGCCAAGAAAACAAAGTGTTCTCTGATTGGGCGATCGAGGTTCAGAGTTTGAACGCCCTTCTTCGTAATACCACGTCTCACTTAACAGAACTCAATCTCCGCTACCATCTTGAAGCGCACATGAACGCTGACCTGCGCACGGAATATAGAACGGAGAACGTCGCAGACATCGCCGAATTCCGTCCGTGGACAGAAAAGATATGCCTCCTCGATGAAAAGCGTCTCCGTAATATCGCCAACCTTGAAGCAGCCTTTCGCGCAGAGCGCCTGAAAAACATGGGCGAAAAGAAGCTTACCTCATCGTCTCGGTACAACTCCAAGTCTGGACAAACGACTACCGGAAAGACAAGCACCTTCGTTCGCGTACCAGCCCTCACTGACGAGGAACGCTCCCTCCTCCGCGAGAACGACGGATGTTTCAAATGCCGCGAACCGTTCGCCAAACATACCACTGCAACTTGTACTAACGGGTTCCCAGACGGAGCCACGTACAAACCTGTGACCGCTGCCACCATCGCCGCAAAGAAAAACAGGAAGAACGGAAGGACGGTTGCTTCGGTGGAGGTCGCGAACACCGTTGCAGTGGTGATGCCTTCAGCAGCTTTGGGTAATGGTACAGACTCAGACGAGTGCGTAGCCCCACTAACGACCCCTTTGCTTCTTTGGGACTGTCTTATCGACGGTCCCAAGTCCTCCTCGTGTGTAAAGGCACTGATCGATGACGGTTCAGCAGCAGTTCTGATTGACGAGAGCCTAGTTGAACAACTAGGCCTCCAAAGACGGAGGCTACACACGCCAATGCCATTCAACGTCGCACTTTCGGGAGAGCAGAAGGACTCATTTCTTTTATCGAACTACGTCAGAATCGCATGTATTTCCATTGACTCTCGTTTTACTTCACGCAGTGTACGGGCCATTGTGGCCCCAAATCTCTGTACCCCGCTGTTATTGGGTGGACCTTTCCTCCACCACAACAAAATCGTCATTGATCACGAACTACGAACGTGTACGGTAAAGGATCAAGACTACGAATTGCTCAACCCGCAATCTCCACAACCTAAGTTTAAGAAGTCCGTGGTACCGTCCCCGCCGAAAATGAGCGAATATCGACACGAGGTGTTGCGGGAATTGAAACATATCCTACCCGAATACAAACAACTCGTGGACGACTCATGTGAACCTGTTAATGGCGTCGACATCGTGGCTGCCATTCGGGAACGTATCACTACGCTTGCATCCGTAGAGCAGCTGAAACTTCGAGATGCCGCTCTAAAGGTAGAATACGAAGACAGGTTCCCCATCGACATTCCTCACAATGACTCGTTACCCTCCGACGTACTCTTCCGTGTACGGTTGAAAGATGCTAACAAATTGATACAGCAACGGGGATACGATTGTCCGCGTAAGTATCGCGACGCCTGGAAAACCCTGCTCGACCAACATGTCGAGGCAGGACGACTTCGACCATCTGATAGCCCTCACTCATCACCGGCATTCATCATTCCAAAGGCCAATCCAATGGCCTTGCCTCGGTGGGTGAATGATTTTCGTCAGTTAAACTTAAATACCGTTCCAGATAACCACCCACTCCCACGGATCGATGAAATTCTGCGCGATGACCTGCACCAAACCGGTTCGGTGCATGGATGACTAATGGTCTCTCACGAGCCCGATACCCTAGAAATCATTATGAACAATCTTCCTTTACTTTATGGTTCAGACTGCAGTTCAGATAGTATTTTCATTTCTCAGACAGACTCAGATAGGCTGAATATTCTTGTATATTTAATTTTGCGGTAAAATTCTGCTTAGTCAGCAATAACAATGACTCAGACTGAATCCCACACATGTCAAGTAACAGTGTAAAATAGTTCTTGCATAAGTTGCCTTGTGGGAACTTTCTTAACACTCTAAATACACGGCTCGCGTCATTTCTACGGTCAATAAAGCAACATCATAACAAGACACCAACAAATAACATAATCAGTCTGTTACTTAATATTTGTCACATGATACTAAGTTATATGACTCTAACAGTCAGGTGACCTATGACCCTAAACCAAATCATGACAAAGCAACCTTTTGAGATGACTAAAGTTTGATGACACAAATGATAAAGCACATAACTACAGTAAATAGTATTGGTACAATCTGACTAAGCCTATTCCCCTTAGAACGTGGGAAATAGTAACACAGCCACCATAATTTATCTATATAAGACCCCACTTTTTTGCCAATAAAAAAAAGGCATATAGGGAACTTTTAAGCCCCACAAAATAAATTTGAGTGTGAAGTGTGATCAGTATCAACAACAGTGACAAGAGCTGTTAAGCAACTAACTGAGAGGTCATTGTAAGCAACATCCAGCAATACCTTTAGCTCATCGTCAACAACTGTGAAATATCTTGAGCTCACTGTGCTCAACAGTGAGCAAACTTTTTCTTTGATTTTCTACTGGTGAACCTCTAGTCTCTTTCTTTTCTTTTCTTTTCTTTTCTTTTCTTTTCTTTCTTCTTTCTCTCTTTCTTTTTCTGTTTCTTTGTTTGTTTGTTTCTTTTCATTTGTCTCTTTTTCTGTTCAGTTCGTTCACGTCTCAGTGTTATTGTCTGAATTTGTTTCAAGATCTTTGTGTTGTCTTTACGTCCATCTAAGCACCGGCTTAGTGGGAAGACTTCAGAAGTTGATAGTGACGCTTGACCTCACTCATCTGAGTAGTGATACTGAGCCAGGGTTTTCTTTGTCTGCTAGACTTTAGTTGTTGAATAGGGGACTTGGTACTGAAATCCAAGGACGTCCGTTCCTGATTCTGTTTAATACTCATCGTGAGTTCCTTGGCAGCAGGTTCAATAGTGAACTAAGAGTTCTACTGATCACTGATTAGTCCTGACCTTTGATTCTACCTGTTTGTGCTGAGGGGGTGATTGCTATAATTTCGCACGACTTTCTGTAGTAAATTTATTACAAGAAGCATTGTTACTGAGGGAAGGGTTTCTCTTATCAATCTATTTCTTTTTTTTATCAGTACCATACTGTTGGGCTGACTTTTCTCTGTTCTCTAAACACTGCCATACCGTTGGAGTGAATCAATTTCTTTTTGTCATCACCATACCGTTGGGCTGACTACATTCTGTTTATTTTATTTTCTATTGCGTCCATACTGTTGGATTGACTGGTATTGCTACTGACCTCACAGGAAGTACTTTTGTCTGAACATAGCTTGGGGAAGTGTAAACAGCCACCCACGAACAACCACGTTATCAGTCATTGGTATTTGTCTGAATCACTGACTGTGGAGATTTTTGATTTTGTAGGTGTTTATCTATAGATCATCTATCTAAGAAGACAGCGACTGCGCCAAGGGGAAGATTTTCGGCAAAATAGATATGACTAACTCGTTCTTCCAGACTAAGGTCCACCCAGACGACATGAAACTGCTCGCAGTTCACACCCCTTGGGGTCTGTACGAATGGACGGTCATGCCTATGGGGGTAAGGAACGCACCAGCTGCTCATCAACGACGGATGTCGACTGCACTACGACACTTAATCGGGAAAATCTGCCATGTGTACCTGGACGACATTATCATATGGTCACAAACGCTGGAAGAACACGAACGTAACGTTCGACTAGTCCTCGATGCCTTACGAAACGCGTCCCTCTTCTGTTCCCTCAAGAAAACATCCCTCTTCAACCTTGAAATCGATTTCCTGGGACATCACATCTCCGAACGTGGTATAGAGCCTGACGCTTCTAAGGTAGCGAGAATATTGGACTGGCTGACTCCTCGGAAAACGAATGACGTTCGAGCCTTCCTTGGGTTAGTACAGTACTTAGCAAATCACCTCCCTGCTCTGGCCGAACACGCGCGGATCTTGACACCGCTAACAACGAAGGCGGCCGAGCTGGAGTTCCCCTTATGGAACGAGAAACACGCCGCCGCCTTCCAATCCATCAAGAATCTCGTAACAAGCCCTCAGTGTTTAACGACGATCGACCATGACAACCCCGGGAACAACAAAATATTCCTCACCTGCGATGCGTCTGATTATCGGACCGGTGCTGTGTTATCCTGGGGAGAAAGTTGGGAAACAGCTAGACCAGTCGCGTTCGATTCGACTCAACTTCGCGAGGCTGAGCTTAACTATCCGGTGCACGAAAAGGAGTTACTAGCGATCATTCGCGGACTGAAGAAATGGCGCGTAGAGCTGCTCGGCGGGCCTATTCAGGTCTATACCAATCACCGGACACTAGAAAATTTCGTGACACAAAAGGGTCTCTCACGTCGTCAGGCCCGGTGGGCGGAGTATTTAGCACATTTCGACTTAACAATATCTTATTTGAAAGGTGAAGAAAACACCGGTGCTGACGCGTTATCTAGACTCCACATCGAAGACGACGTGTCTCATGACGGACCAACGACTGCAGCCGCTGTCACCTCTTCTTTCCAAATTGACCTCAACAACACTTTCACGAAAGACATCATGACGGGATACGTTGACGATCCGTTCTGCAGAAAACTTACAGCTCTCGTTGGGTCCCTGCCAGGCTTGGAACAACGTGATGGACTCCTGTTTGTGGCTAACCGTCTCGTGATTCCTCGCATCAACCCCCTGCAAGAAAAGCTGTTCCACTTAGCACACGACACTTCAGGACATTTCGGCGGTGACAAGACGTACGCAACGCTACGTTCGGCCTATTACTGGCCTAACATGAGACGTGACCTTCTCGAATCCTACATCCCAAGTTGCGTCCAATGCATGCGCAATAAAGCTGCCACTACATCCGTCGCCGGACCCTTACACCCACTACCAATCCCTGACGCACGGGGAGACTCTATCGCCATTGATTTCATTGGGCCGTTGCCCGAAGACCAAGGCTTCAACACGATCGTCACAATAACCGATCGTCTGAATGCGGACTTACGGATCATACCTTGTCGAGACAACATCTCCGCTGAGCAGTTCGCGGTCCTGTTCTTCGACAACTGGTATTGCGAGAACAGGTTGCCGCTTGACATTGTATCAGATCGCGATAAGCTCTTTCTTTCTCGGTTTTGGAAATCGCTACATAAACTAACGGGTATTAAGTTGAAGCTTTCCTCGTCCTACCATCCTCAGACAGACGGCGCGAGCGAGAGGACAAACAAGACTGTCAACCAATGTATCCGGTTCCATGTGGAACGGAACCAGAAAGGCTGGGTCCGCGCCCTGCCGCGCGTCCGTTTCCAGATCATGAACACCCTCAATGCAAGCACGAACACTTCCCCGTTTCAGCTTCACATCGGACGTTCACCTCGTATCATACCCCCCCTACAACGACCATCGACGGACAAAAGTACAGAAGATCAACGCGCTCGACTGCTCCTGACGCAACTCCAATACGACGTTATGGAGGCCCAGGACAGTCTACTTGCCGCTAAGGCCTCACAAGCGACGCAGGTTAACAAGCATCGTTCAGCAGAATTGACACTTCACGTCGGAGATAAGGTCATGCTTTCGACACGACACCGTCGGCGCGAATACATGCAGAAGGGAGATAAGCGGGTCGCTAAGTTTATGCCCAGATTCGACGGACCTTATACAGTGCTCGAAGCGCACCCCGAAACATCCACGTACACCCTAGACCTCCCCAATTCCCCCAATATTTTCCCAACGTTTCACTCCTCACAACTGCGACCTTTCCACGCCAATGACACTGAACTATTCCCCTCCCGCGAAAACCCACGCCCAGGACCTGTGGTAACCGAAGATGGACAAGTAGAGACCTTCATAGAGAAGATCATCGATGAGAAGAAGATAGGTCGCGGACGGAAGTACCTGGTACGGTGGCTGGGGTTCGGTGCGGACGAAGATGAGTGGTTACCGAGACGTGATCTTGAGGACTGCGAGGCGCTTGACGCTTGGGAACAGCAAAAGAAGGCTTCATAGGTTGGGAGGGTGTAAGCATGGCTTACTCACTTGACGTACTAACAGGCATACGGCTTATCCATCGGACTCCTGATTGGTCCCCTTACGATATTTGTTGCTGTTTACAGGATGCCTACGAGCTCCTATTTATATGGGGCTCCTGTTATTGTATTAGATTATCGCCTCTTATCCTGCTCCAATTGCATACGCTTCTACTCGTTACTTTGTCTGAGTGTTTCTACCTCTGGGGTAGTTTCCAAAAACTCATTGTTCGACATTAAGCTGTTCTAAGTACAGAGCGTAGGTCGTATCAATGTCTCATGTGAGACGCAAACGTTCCTCGGTGTCATTACACGTATCGATTGTTCTAAGCAATATAGAACCACCCTTTCTTGCGCTTCTTTCTTGCGCTTTTCCCCCAGCCCTGCTAGTGAAAATGTCTTTAGTGATCGGGAAGAAGCAGGGTCGTTATATTAGCTGCTTCTGTATATGAGTCGACCGCCCCTGATTGTGATTTCGACGAATAGTATGCATGGCAAAGGTCCTCCCAGGCAGCTATGAAACAATCGCGATGAGTCGTGTGGGACCAAATCCCATGTAATACTCACTCGGTAATCCCTTCAGGTGCGTCTGAGTTTCAGAAGGACTCTCGGCCATAACGATCGCGAAGCCACTAGGGTAGTGAGTCTCATGGTAATGAAGTTCGGCCCAAAAAGACTCACCCATCGAGGTGCCAGTCTATGTGACTTGTCGGAGGATGAGCCCGAATTATGTAAAATGGGCTGAGATGCTCACCAGTGCAAAAACCAAGGTCCGGAATTATCTGTAACCCACCGTATGACCATTGTTTCACCTGTAGCACCGCTAGAGGCAACATCCCTGCGCATAGGATTTAAATAGTTGAAGTCACTGGCACCACCTGAATATACGACATCAAACGTGTGCTGGATGTCTGTCAGAATGATTCAGCACCAAAAAGACAGAATGCAAACACCGTGCAAGTGGATCGGGTGCTAAATTCCGTCAGATGCTATGCAATTACGGGATAGATATTGCTTACTGGTGCGCCGAAGCCGTGTGTAGTCATGGTCAGTTCTACGACTTTATTAGCCTCCAGCACAATAACGCTTCCTATGGGCATCAAATCGGTGGCATATTGTGCACCACTAAGAATTTGCAGGAGTACTGGCACAATGGGAGGTTCGTAGACAGCACCGTTGATAAAAAACAGTCTACCGAAGTTGTCGACGACCAAGTCCAGGTTGATGTCCGCCTGGCCATACTCAGGAATCCCAGGTGCACCGGGATTGATGAGGGGATAAAGGTTCGTCTCGAGCATCGGCATGGTGCTGTCTGTGTAGTCTGTGGTTGGATCTGCAGCTGGTGCACCTCTGTATCGCAGGATGGCGCAGTTAAGGCCACCGTCAAACGTGGACCCAGCGGTACTTGGAAGCGCGCGAAGCCAATAGTTGTTCACTGGCTTATCAGTTGTGAGAATGACAGAGTACCGTTGTCCGGCGAAAATCCGGAGCGAGTCGACTAAGAGTGGCTCAGTAAGTATACCATCTGTTTCAATCACAGTGAGGTTGTGTCCGTCGATAGAGAATTTGAATGAAGGGTCGCATGACATCCCAATGAGTCGCAGCCTGTATCTCTTTCCATACTCGACGTTGACAACGGCAAGTTCGGATTCTGGCCCGCCAACATATCTACCAAGCCCATTAATCAACGTTGAATCCGAGTCGACGCCAATTATGTGACGTAGAACTGTGGACACGGTATGATACCTGTAGAAAGATGACGAGAAGGCAACTAGAAATGAATTTTGGGATTTACCAATCGGCAATGCTAATAATTGTGGTCTCTAGCAATGATTTAAGCTAAATACTATGATTATATGTTCGTTCACTTACCATCATCGACGTCATATAAATAAGACAAAGGATCATCGGGATCATAAATTACCAAAGGGCCACGGAGACCATCACTGGATATCAGGATCTCAGAAACATCTTGTTGGAAAAGTTTGAGTTGACAAACCATTGCTGTGTGGAATAATGGCTATGGTACCAGTAAGTGCCAGCCTGATTCGGGGCATCAAAGGCGTGAAGGAATGAGTAGTTTGGGGGAATGGGACACTGTGTGACGAATGAAACACCATCTGCATAGTTCGTTCCGTTCTGGAATAGCCCATGCCAATGCTGCAATATCATTTAACTACCAAAAAAATTACAGGTAGATTTGGTCACTCACAACACTGGTGCTTGTGAGCATAAAGCTATCATCTAGCTTATTCACTACGTTTATGGCGAAGTGGTCTCCCTATATGCGAAACTTTAGAAACACATAAAGGATGCAGGTGAAATTGATACCTTGTTAGCTTTGATCAGAGGACCGGGAAATGTTCCTCCGGCAAGTGTTGTCCTGGTAAATCACAACATCATCGAACGAACATAAATAATTGTGGGTGCACTTACGAACGTGGAAATCCATCTGGCGCAATAACTTTATTTGAGATAGTTAAGTCAGTAGAAGGTCCTAGCGACCGAGAAGTGAGGAGATATGATTGTGATGGAGAGAAAATGGACGCTACGGCAGCATACGTCGCCAGGGATGATAAATACATACCGCAATGCAGTTGTTGTGCTTGCAACAAAACAGAGCGACAGATGTGAAGGAGGCCAAGTACAATATACTGGGCGATCATATACATTAGTGTCGGAAACGAAGAGGGAGTCGCTAGGTTACCGTGAAGATGCTGGGTCAATGATGTTGCTAAGAACGCATCTTCGTCAAAGGTCGTCGAAGGTCATCATAATCTTCGTGCCGCCAATGCGGCCCGAACAGACCTACCTGAGATCCACAGGGTAGAAACATTATGAACTTAACTGCGAGATTTGAATGATCGATAACGGTTTGCTGTCTGCTCTTCCGGTGGACCAGAATATTGATCAAATGAAGTAGGCATTTGATGCTTGTGGCATTTTGAAAGCCTGCAAAAAGGTGATATATGGCTTGAAGTTGTTGGCTTCGACGTTACACTAGTGGACAAGACTCACCAGTCACTTGCGAATACTTGCGTCAGATCCAAGGCAGTCTACTGTGGAAGAGGACAACTACCAGGTGACCTCTGTGGCTTTGTGGGTCCGAGGCCAGTCCTCGAATGCATGGTTGCCTGTAGCCGTCAATGGATTGCACAGCAATATTCACAGCCAATCATTGAATTCCACAGTCTACAGACAAAACATTGTTGCTATGATAAGATTTTTGATCAATGGCAGTAGCGTGAATAAGCAAGCCTTCACCTAGCCTCACCTCAAGCCTCAAGCTGAGCACCTTCGCGCACTTCTGCGTTGTTCTCTTGAACTTATTGGCTTCGAAAAACAAAGTGTTTGTATCACTACTAGGTTCAATAGCTGGTTCCCCCCAGATCAGTGCCCGAATTTATTAGATCAACAGCGGTACATGCGAACCAAGTCCCGGACTTCCGCTTCCGATCATTTTCTCATTGCCTTGTCTACATTCTTGTATATATTAATTATACACGGACAAGATCCTATGTGCTGTCGACCACTGTTTGTGAGACCGGGAAGTCGGGGAAGTGTGGCTGGCAACTGCCATCACTGGTACAGCTAGAAGCCTTCTGTTTCGATACGCGTACTCTTGCCTCAGTGGTGTGCAAATGGTGCTGCAGGAGATATGCCGATGCAAAATATAAGAAACAGTAGAATTGCCATGAGCGAGTTGGCGTAAGTGTCACACTGTAATCAAGTGAAAGTGTCCAATTATCAACGGCGACGGGCACTCGTAGACAGGGTTTGACATCAGAGAAAGCATGAGTCCTTGATTTTGTAGCCGTGGGAAGTATACTGCGTCGCAAATCTGTTCTCGCCACATATCATCTTTTATACTATGAACTATTAGAGTTGTACATACAAACCCATGGATGCCCGCAAATCTAGCTTAACGTGCACGGCCCATGACAATGCTGTGACATTTCTCCTTTGTAGACAGCGAGGAGTAATAGTATATTTGTTCTAACTACTTTGTGCGTTCTAATTTTATCACAACTATTTTTGCATCACAAGGCTATGCAAGGCTTTCTCAAGGAAAGGGACGTTAGTATTGATCATCTAATCTCGATGGTCATCGAAGCTTGTGACAATATTGCAGCATTGCACCATGGCAGCCTAAATCATGTTGTAGCCTACATAGGGAAAAGCGTGTCCCCCTTGCTAAGTGTTCTCTATTTTTTTTGGCATCACACGGCTATGCAAGGCTTTCTTGTGGAAAGCGACATTAGTATTGATCATCTAATCTCAATGGTCATCGAAGCCCGTGACAATATTGCAGCATTGCACCATGGCAGCCTAAATCATGTTGTAGCCTACATAGGGAAAAGCGTGTCCCCCTTGCTAAGTGTTCTCTAATTTTTTGGGCATCACACGGCTATGCAAGGCTTTCTTGTGGAAAGCGACATTAGTATTGCTCATCTAATCTCGTTGATCATGGGGGTTCATGACAATATTGCAGCGTTGCAACATGGCAGCCTAAATCATAATGTAGGGTAAAGCGGTCCCCCTTGCTGAGTGTTCTCATGCATCATTCTTCAGGTGTAAAATATGATAGTATTTTAAATAGAATGCATGAGCATCTCGAACGCGCCTTGTCTCCTCTCGGAGTTGCGATTCCTCAAAGTGCACGCTTGCTCTTATCGTCTGTATACTTCCGCTCGTCTTGAGAACAGTCCGAAGCGGCAACGCTGACCGTCTGTGAAGCCGTTCCACTGCGCAAACCGGACATGACATCAGGAGAACGTAGCTGAGCAGACATGGATCCTGCTCGAGAAATCGTCGACATCGCGGACGCATCGGAACTCCAGCTGCCGCTGTGGGGCCTCCTTCAGCATCTTCCGAAGAGAGGTAGCTTCCACATCCATAGCCTCTATTTTCTCCACATGTCCTCTCATTAATCGGTCTTCGTCTGCCAATAAGTTCACGATGCGAATCGAGAAGTTCGCCAAGACCGTGACTGCCAGTGGTGAGCGCATGAAACGCACCAGTGTCTTCGTGAGCAAAGACCCACACATTCTCAACCTCTGCAAGCCTGCTCTTCGCTTGTTCCAACTCGGCCATGCGAGTCTCAAGGTACCGCGTAGTTCTCTGTTTCTAGCTGAGTGATCTGCTCACGAGCGCGTTGCTCCTCTTCAGAGCCATACAGCTTGCAGTGTCGAGACTCGAAGAGTGGCCTCGACTTCCACGTAACGGTCGCGAATTTCCGAGCGTTCACGAACAATACGGTGGTACGTCTCCTCCAAGGCATCAGCACGGTTGCTGGCCTCAGAGGATTGTGCCTCGTGGCACGGGTACCATTAGGTACAGCGCTTCCTGGTGCGGGTGGCCCTGGTGGAGGTGAGGGTGTAGTAGATGATTTTCGATTAACCTTGTTGGCTGGTGGCCTTGCGCTTGAATCAGGGTATTTGATGCGCTCTGAGCAAGATTCAGCAGTGGCATTGGTGCAGGAGAGTAGTCACGTACTGGTATCAATAATATTAATAATTCCACCCTTGGTTGGCGTAAAAGACTCTCCACCAAGAATAGCGAGGGAGTGGTGAAGGTGAATTTGATGCAGCCACGCCAGACTTCGGGATTATGAGTGAGGGCAGGAGGAATAAAGAACACATGATATCGGGAGACGATCGTGCGTCACGGTCCTAGCCGAAGCTTTAGGATTCAACATGAACAAACAACCGTCGGCAAATATACTAACACTTACTTTCGATAAATTTAAATAATATACATTTAAAATCAACGAAAACCGCGACAGAAATATCAAAGAAATATATAGCTTACTAGGTTACTAGCTAGTACATACGACTCGGATACATGCACTGACTCAGATGTGGCGCGCCCCGGAAAATGCCGGGAACGCATACCTTGTCCAAATCGGGACAGTTCTCTCATACCCGATAATCAAGGACGAACTTGTAAGTACTATCGATTCACTCTGTATTTGTTTTCATTTGTGCGATTCTAGCGCTATGAATAACTACATAAATGCGAACGGAGGAGGCGACAACCGAGATGCAGGAGGAGATCAAAATAACCAAGTGCGCTACCTATTTTCTAACATTCGGACTGCTCACAGACTCATCTGCAGATTCCTCAGCACCTACTCCAACACACTCCAAGGCCGCGAGAGGTGGTGTTCACGCTGACTGTGGGGCAACTGGTGAGTGAGTCGACCGCGCGAGTTACGGTGTTGATCTTGTCGAAGGAAATGCTATATGTCAGATGGGCCACCGCGCGAATGCGCGTGCGTCAAGAGCTCTATGAGCCCGCCTTACCGATTCCGCCCTATCCCCTGCCTCCGGCCTGGCCAGATGAGGTGCGCGCGATGATGGTCTTATGGATAGCAAGGGAGCGCAGGGTGTTCGAGATGGAGATGAGGGAGTTGGAGTATTTGCTGGGACTAAGAGGTGCGCGTTAGCGTTGAGGTAAGCCACATATATATCACAAAAATTCAAAACTTACGAATATGTTGAGAACGAACGGGTGGGGAGAACGAACGGGACCGAACCAAGACTGGATATATTCAATGTACTTTTACCATATACCATGCATATAAAGGTTGTCCGCACTGTGCAAACCGTCACCGGGTGGAGGAGGACAGCCGTTGGGTTGGAGGGCAGACATAATTATCGAATTGGAAACATTGGCCAAGTTGATCAGGACCTACGGCTGCGCAGCCGTCCAGTACTACCTGGAGACCAACCAGATGCAAATATTGATGGTGGTGGACGCCAGCAACAGTGACAGAACACAATTTTCTATGTTATCAGAAGAACTGGCTCCCAGCGTTGGACGAGTAGCAAAGACGAGACTGCCAGACGTTCGCATGGAGGACAACTTGGGCAGACTCGGAGTATTGATGGTCAGACAGCACCTTGAAACGGGTAAAGAATGGAATGTCAGAAAATGCACTTGATGCTCACCTCCTGCGTCCTATAAGTTTTATTGAGGCCGATTGTAAGTGGTCTAGCAAGCGACGATTTCAATGCATGCTTTGACTAGCACTGCACAGCCAAGCAATGATGTTTGGGCGCTAGGTCAATTATGATTAATTAGGCTTTCAACATCCTACACTTCGTCGACAAAGGAGGCATCGGTATCTCCCAGATAGGAGCTGTGATTGCAGTCGTGACTTGCTACCTTCAGAAGCTTGATCTCGATTGTTGCGTAAAGGGAAGCCGGTGGTGGTGTTTGTGAACCCTGGGGGGCTGAAGCGCGCGTTGAAGCCGTATGAGGGGGTTGTTACTAGAAGCAAAAGGGGGTGGTATGCGCCCATCACCACGGGCGCGAAATCGGCCAGAATGGCTTCTGGGAGGTGTGCGATGCTGAGATGAACGTATCAGCAAAGAAGGGTTATGAGTAAGGAATAGACGTACACCTCTCTGGGCTGCCTAAAATTTCGAGTTTCG